TTAGGCCCGCTCCTGGGTGGCAGAGGGCAGGCCCAATCCCTAGGTGCAGCCCCTGGTCGGGCTCAGAGCAGGGCCGATTAGGGAGTTGGGGCGCCGCCCCCTGTCATGCACAGAGCAGGGCGGATTGGGAGGTTGCGATGCCACCCTCAGTCACGCTCAGGGTAGGGCCGATTGGGGGGTTCGGACACTGCCCCCTGTCACACTCAAGGCAGGGTCGATGGGGAGGTTGCGGCACCACCCCATCACTCACAGAGCAGGGCCCATCAGGGGGGTTGGGGCTCCGTACCCTGTCATGCACAGAGCAGGGTCGATCAGGGGGTTGGGGAGCTCCACCCTGTCACTCACAGAGTAGGGTCGATAGGGGAGTTGGGGCACCGCCCCCTGTCACACACAGAGCAGGGCCCGTGGGGGGCGGTTGGGGCGCTGCCCTCTATCACCCACAGAGCAGGGCCGATCAGGGGGTTGGGGTGCCGCCACTCTCACACTCAGGGCAGGGCCGATGGGGAGGTTATGGCTCTACCCCGTCACATACAGAGCAGGGCCTGTGGGGGGGGGGGGGGTTGGGGTGCCGCACCCTGTCACACACAGAGCCGCAGGGCGATCAGGGGGTTGGAGAGCTCCCCCCATCAGGCACAGAGCAGGGCTGATCAGGGGGTTGGGGCGCCTTCCCCTGTCACGAACAGAGCTGGTCAGATAGGGAGGTTGTGGCCCCACCCCCTGTCACACACAGAGCCGCAGGGTGATCAGGGGTTTTGGGCGCTGCCCCCTGTCATGCTGATCCTGGTGCCGGGAGGCATATTACCCTTTTACTATATAGGATAGAGGCCTGCTGCACTGCACAGGTGGGTGCCGGCTGATTTGCCCTGAAGGGTGTCCTGGATCAGGGTGGGGGTCCCCACTGGGGTGCCTGGCCAGCCTGGGTGAGGGGATGATGGCTGTTTGCAGCTGGTCGCACACCCTTCAGGGTGGGGGTCCCCACTGGGGTGCCTGGCCAGTCTGGGTGAGGGGCTGAGGGCTGTTTTCAGGCTGGCGGGTGATGGAAGCTCCCAACTGCTCCTTTTTTTCTTTTTTCTTTTTTATTCTGGGCCAGCTTTAGCTCTGAGGCTTGGCTCCAGCTCTTAGGCCTCCGCTGCTGAAAGCAGGTATCTGCTTTGTTTGGGTTCTATAATCGAAACACTGTTTCAACTCCAGCTCTGAGATCCCAGCTGGCTGAAAGCAGGTTTCTGGGGTTTTTTTAGCTTCTATATTTGTAACAATGTTTCAAACTGCAAGCTCAGAGGCCGGCAGCGGCAGGCGGGGAACATTGGAGTCCTCTGTCACTGAAGCAAGCAAGCCTCATGTTCGCTTCAAGCTGCCTGGCTGCCGGCCGCCATCTTGGCTGGCAGTTAATTTGCATATCGCCCTGATTAGCCAATGGGAAGGGTAGCAGAGTGACACCAATTTGCATGTTTCTCTTAGATTACCATCTTACATTCACTTGCACATATAAATTCATCAATATATTCAAACCATGTAATTTTGCTGATATTTGACTTTAAAAAAAAAAAACTTATTTAAATCAGCAATTCCTAAGGCTCAACCTACTAACAAAGAGTTCTCCCTGCCTCCATAGGGACCTCTGCATGGCGCACTCCAGTACAGCAGTCACCAACGGTAAGCCACAGACCACTGGTGGTCCATGAGGTCCGAAAGGTTGACGACTGCTGGTTTAAGGAAACCTTTGGAGCAGCGGTCACCAACCGGTGGTCTGTGAGGTTCGAAAGGTTGGCAACCGCAGCTCTAGTATGATTTAATGATACACCCCAAATCTTCAATTTTATACCATTCCATTCAATTAATATAGGTAGGAAATGTGACCACAGTTACAAATACAAAATTTGGCCCTTTTACTTACCTCACTTTAAAGTTAGTATTTAGTGTTTCAGGCAGATTTTCCTTTCCCTCCCCACCAGTTGCCCTCCTGCCACACATACAGAACTCTGTTTATCAACTAGCAGGGCATCTATTATGATTACAGGGCTAGAAGGGGAGTGGGGACTCCTTGCTCAACATCCGGCTCTCCTACTCTCTTCTCCCTGAGACCAAGTCTCTTTCCCATTTCCATTTCCATCATTTTTTGTCGATGACTATTATTATCATTTCCGGAGTTTGCACAAGTCTGCTTCACCTGATCCACAGATCCAAATAGAACCAAAGAAAATGCTTGCAGCATTTGTGAAGTTAGCACTGGAATTTTACTCCAAATGGCTCTATTTGAAAATATTTGTATTAATGTATTTATCAATGGTCTTCAAGTCAGGAAATAAGATGTGATTTTCAATATGGCTAAGTAAAGCCAAAAATTTTCCAGCGTCAACTATGGTATCCTTGTGTTTCAAGAGGCCACACTCTTCCACCTGGTTTCAGTAAGGAGCGTTTGGACAGAAAGCAGGAAGGTAATAAGGAAGTCTTTTTAATGAGGTTCTACTTACATGAAGGGTTCAAGAGATGGGCAGGGAAAAGCATTCTCTATAAACTGGCTCCAGCATTGCTTTTGCCAATTGTATGTCAGGCTGTACCTCTGACGCAGATGTCACGTTGTGCATATTTTATTTAATTGCTTCAATCGTGTCATATACTGGAATATTCTCAATCAAATATCCTTTCTTTATGTAAGAAAACATGACTTTAAAATCCAGGTGAATTCTGTTTCTACACTCTCAATGTATAGAAGTAGTAAAAAATTACCTGTTGCTTAGGTGTTTCAAGACCTATTATAGTAACACTATTATAGTGACCTATTATAGTAACACTTCAAGAGATAAGAAAAAGTGTATTAAAAATGAGCCATCAAGTGGACAATGGACATGGTCAAAATCAAGTGGCCAGAATAGCTATTTCATTATTAAGGCCCTGAAGTCTACTATTTGAAAATAAGGGTACTGTATTACAGTTTTTAAAGGACCTTAACATCACCTCATTGGCCATAACAACTCCTTTATAACAGTAATTATTATTATTGATATTTTATACTTATCAAGTTATTGACAAATGGTTAGGAGCTGAAACCCAGGCCTTTTCATTCTTATCCCATTGCTAGTCCACCTGATATTCAAAAGGTCCATGCAAAATGCATTATATTATATATTTTAATTAGAAATCACAGAATCATCAGTGACTGCATTCTGTCAAATTATCTCTCATTCCTTTCTATCCCAACTCTGCTCTGGATCACAGATGTGCCCTGACTTTTGTGTAATACAGCCTTAATTAAAGCCCTCTTCTCGCTCCAGGATCACTCAGCCTCTACTCCCCTCCGCTCCTCTGAACCTCCTATTACCAGACTGCCCGAGTGATCTTTCTAAAATGCAGTTCTGATGGTGTCACTCCAATGAGAACATCTGATGGCTTGCTATTGCCTACAGTGGTGGTTCTTAAAATATGCACTAGGGGATTTTTGTAGTTCCAAGAATTGGACAAAGGTGTTTAGAGCTGCTATAATCAAGTAGTATCAAGCAGTTTAATTTGCTGGAAGAAAAAAATTAAAGGATAAAGATAGACGCATTTTATTTTTTGCCCATATCTTTTTCTCCAAAATTTGAGACCTGCTTGGTCTACTGGATAGGCCTATCAAAAGAGTAAAACAAACAAACTAATATTAATTCTGAAAGAGTCAACTGTACTTAACAATTATTTTCACCCATAATAAAGGGCAGAGGAAAATGCTCTTATTTTAATTAGATATTATATAAGTGTCATGTTTTTTTCTAATGCATATGATAGAGTTAAATATATGCTTAAATAACCTAGGACCTAACAACTATCATGTACTCAGTTTTTGAACCAAAATACCACTTTACATAAACCCATCCTGGTAATGGCTTTGGCAACTTAAGTCACTGTTCTCATGGTTCACTGTTAACCAAACGCTTCACTGATGTGCCTGTCTGATTTTATATTACTTTTTCATTAAACACCTACCTCCCGAGATAGACAGTGAATTCATTGAGGACAGAGCAACGTACTATTCACTTTAAATCACAAGTGCCTGGCACATAGAAATCACTCAATAAATGCATATTGGAAAAATCAGTGAGTTCAATTATATGAGAGCAAGACTGCCAACTATTTGTTGCAATTATAGTCTCATAACTTTAGAGCGAAGTCAATAAATTTTCTCTGTTTCAGTTTTATATGTAACACATTATAAACATCAAATAAAAAAGTTTTAGAAAATATTTTACCTCATGCTGTATAAATACAGCAAGTGAAATAGTAAGTCAAATACAACAAAACTCCATTAAAAACACATCAATGTTGATTTTTAGGAAGTTTCTTAAAAACATGCACTGCTCAGACCCATGAAGGGAAATTAAGGATCCAGTCACTTCTACAAAATTGAATTATAATTGTGAGGAATTTTTAATTCTATGACCATAAACTGGATAATAAATACGAAATTGTTTTTTCATGCCCCCACCCCCCATAAACAAGGCTGTTTCTATCTCAATGTACATTTTCTCAAGTAAGAAAAGAACCCAGATCAATCTCTATAAATGTAAGGGTTTGCATATGAAAGTAGACGTACAAAAGCCAATGGAGTTGCCATCGTTACTTCATTATCGCAAGTAAAACGCAAGTAAAGTTCTACAAAAAGAAAAATCTGCCAACACAGTTTTCACGGTGAAAAAGTACTCAATTTTTTCATGTCAGAAACAGATACCAGTATCCTTTTGTTGTTGTTGTTGTTGTTAACATCTTTGAGCCCACCAGATATTCCCTCCCAGCTTACATAATAGCATGTATATCACGGCCAGGGAACAAGGACAGCAGAGGCTTACTTAATGCATGCTAAGTCTTATGGTTTATATTTGTAGTAAATATCTTATTGTCTCCATCTGACTGTTTATGGCTGATGAATGATGGACCAGTGGTAATATGCATGGTTGCATTAGAAGTCGGCATTTTAAGATGAAATCTCAAAATAACTGTAGGGAAAGAAAAACACAGGAACTACTTACGGCCAGCAAGCAGGAACTGGTAATACTGTACAGCATCTGCAGCCAGGAGCAGAGGGTGGTTTGCATTAAATGGTGGCTGCAATTCATTCCATTGAGGAGTTCTAAGGAAACAGCAGAAGAATATTAATATTTAAGCTTAATAGATGGTATGTAAATCAACATCACTGTCACCACTTACAGACATTGATATAAACTCACACTATCTTTATAATCATTAAAATGAACTTGTTGGAGTGCTGAAACCTAAAACACAAGGCCATCTGCTTAGAAAAGAATAAAAAGGTGGCAGTGATTCATACTAATCACACAGAGCCAGTATCAGTTTAAAGCAGCGCCCCCCCCCCCCCCAACCCCAGGCATAGGACAGACAGGACATTCAAAATACTGGACAGAGAGGAAGTGTGGAATTCAAATGTCAAAACTAAGTAGTTCTAATTTTACCTAATTTCTGACAATTTTCAGAGCTCTCTATTCTCAGAATATGTGTGTATTTTCAAATAGAATAAAGCAGGGAAGACAATGGTGGGGAAAAACACAGTTATGTTTGTGGGTGACGTATTAAGAACAAATTAGCATCTGAGTTCCAAAATAAACCACTTATTTCAACAATGATGGTGCAGTAATTTTAATTAGATCTGCCCGCTCATGAATAACCTGATAAATAAGCTACTGATCAAATCAATCTAGTGCAGTAAAGTAGTAGTAAAGAATGCTGGAGCCTTGAAAAATCAATATAAGAGTATTTTAAAATGTCAAAAGGAAAGGGATCATTTTCATATCCATTTTTGTCTGTTTCCTTCCATACATGTCAGGACCAATTTTTTCTGTCTCTCCTATACCATTCATTGTACAATACACTGAAAAGGTTTTACTCTAGATTTAACTTCTTGATCCGTATTAGCTTATAAAGATTTTAGTGATTATATACTTTTAAGAAGGACTCTGATTCATTTCTTTAAAATATGTTTTTATTGATTTTAGAGAGAAAGAGAGAGGGAGAAAGAGATGGAAACATTTATGAGAGAAACATCAATTGGCTGCCTCCTTCTGGGGATCCTGAATCAAACCAGTTGAGCAACCTCTTGGTTCATGAGTCAATGCTTAAACATTGAGCCACACCAGCCAGGCAGGACTCTGATTCTTAATAAATACTTCTATAGTCTTAGCCTTTATATATTGGGGAATAACTGTAAAGGAAACCTTCCAATCTATTTATGTTAGTTTATTTCCCTTCAATGACTGCCTCAGTGCACTCTCTATTTTCAGTAAGCATGAGACTGGAAATAAGGGGAAGCATGTGGAAAATTAAAAAGAAAAAACAAAACCCAAGTCCGAGAAGAGGTAACACAAAGATACAAGGAGAAAGGAGTTCAAAAGGACGTGTTCTCTGAGGCACATATGAAAGTCATCTGAAAATATATGACCACACAAAAATTTGTACAAATATGTTCTTAGCAGCGTAATTCATGGCAGGTAAAAAGTCACATCACAGTGTGGGTCAACTGATGAATGGGTAAACAAAATGTGGTATATCCATGCAATGGAATATTATTTGGCCATAAAAGGAAAAAAGTTATGATACATACTACAACTTAGCTGGACGTTGAAAACATTATGCTAAGTGAAAGCAGTCAGATGCAAAAAGGTTACATTTTGTCTGATTCCATTTATATTAAATGTCCTAAGTAGGTAAATATATAGAGACAGAAAGTAAAATGAGTGACTGCTAATGGGTATCAAGTTTCTCTTGGGGTTGATGAAAACTGATTGTGGTGATAGATGGGTACATAACCTAGCGAAAATTTACTTTAAAGGGGTGAATTGTATTATGTGTAAATTATGTCTCAATTTCAAAAAGGAAAAAATTATCAATACATGCCACAACAGGGATGAATCAAAATAATTTTGCTGGATGAAAGAAGCAAGACAAAAAAAAGAATACACACTCTGATACCATGTATGTAAACTTCTAAAACTCATCAAGTAATCTACAGTGAGAGAGAGCAAATAGTGGTTGCCTGGCGCTCCATGGCAGAGGTAGGGATAAAGGGGGCAGGAGGGAGAGATTAAAAAGAAGTATTAAACAACATTTGCAGGTGATGAATATATTTATAATGTTAATTATGGTGATGGTTTCCACAACTGTATCCGATGTCAAACCTTATCAAATTGTACATATTTAATATTTTATACCTCAATAAAGCTGTTAAGAAAAAACTGGAAACTGGATATTACTGGAAAAAAAATTATTTTTTCCAAACTTAACCAACTGTGTTTAATGCCGCGGAGTATAATTTCCTTGTAATGTATTCAAAATATTATTTACAGAATGATTCACTCGTTATAATAATTGAATGGAAGCTTGACTTTACGGCCCATGTGCTATAGTCTGAGGGGACGGAAAAGGGAGTGCTTGGGAGGCAGATCCATCACAGTGTGGGTCCAAGGACAAGGGCCTCTGGAGATGAGGGGTTTCAAGTTAGACTGTGGATACTTTCTCCAGAAGGGTTTATGCTTATCTTTGCAATGATGTCACAAGATAACCAGATAGTAGACAATTTAAAACTTGGTCCCATTACCAGACCAGAATGTATATGTGCCCTATGAATTAATTTTTTTTTCCTAGTCCCTATGTGCTGACACTCGTCCTGAACAGCTGAACCCACTGCCAAAGGGCAGAGCCAGGACCCAAAGAGCTGAGTCCCCAACCCACAGCCAAAACCAGTCCCGAAGAGCCTATTACTGAAATTTAAACAATTTTTTAAAGGGGGACATATGTAATACTTTCAACAATAAAGATTAAAGAATAGCAAATAAATTTTTAAAATTTTTAAACAAGAGAAAGAAAGAAAAAGAAAATAGAAAGGTGGTATTACCTAACCAGAGTCCAGCTGGCTCGAGGTGATGTCATCATTTCCAGTGGGGTGTCATCACTAATCTTGGGGGCAGTGCTGAGCGGCCGTGGCTCTATCATGTGCTCCACTAAGGTCCCGTAGCAGCTGATGATGTACAGAGATTCAACTACAACTTGTTTGGACTGATCTACAAACAAAAAAATAGAACCTGGATGTTTGATAATGACCTAAAAGGAGCACAGCATAGTTTTTATAAGTTACTGAATTTCTAATCTCTTCTGAGGCTACTAACAGAAAATAAAAAGGCAGGAATTTTGTTCACATGAATGGGTAAGGTGTCTGCTCCTTGCCTAAAAGTTGTCTCTTACTAAGTATAAACTAAGGAATTTAAAAATGTCTACGCTATCTAAATATTTTTTAAATCTTAAGGAATGCACCTCAAGAATGATGTAAGAAAAAAAAAAAAAGAATGATGTAAGTATACGCAAATTTCTAATACAGTGAAACAATACTTTTCAGTCTGGTATATTTGTCTGCAATATGTGTCCCACGTTATGAAAAAAGAATGCTATCAGGCGGGACAGGGACAGACTGACTGAAAAGGAACACTGCATGGACAAAGACTGAATAGTGGCACCAGATGTACCCACTCAAGTGCATGAGAGCCCTTTGTACGCTGACATCAGCCCAACTTCTCATCCACTTTCCCTTTCACATTTCTGGATTCAAACAAACCAACAAGCAAAAAACTCACACATCCTTCTCCCCCAAATCCACTTCCTTCTTTTCTCTCAGTTGGATCCCTGGCCTCCATGGTAAATGAAGAGGGAGGTCAGGTGCTGAATATGGACCTAATCAAATGACTTTAGAAGGAGGACACATGTCCTCAGTGCCAGAACAGGTTCAGTCCTCTATCTCGGGTTTTACAGTAAACCTAGGAGCATAGAAAACCACTCCTGAATGCTGGGTGGGTCACCTTATCTCTAGGCCAGAGGAATTCATTACAGCTGATTTGGGAAAATGGCTAATGACCAGTCAGTGGTACATAAAGCAATAGCAAGTTAAAAGGGTAATTAGAACAGAAGGGAGAAGCATTTGAAATCGAGCTACACAGAGGGTTTTAACTAGCAACAAAAAGTCGTTTCGATAGCATCAGTAAAGCTAAGGAGGTAACAAAAAAATAAAGATGGGATAAGGAAATGGAAGGCTTGCGTTCTGTGCTGTATCCTCTCCCACTGAGGTAAGGAACCTGCTGTGCGGGAGATCCTATTTCCCTGGAGAGGGTCATTGACAGGCGATAACCAGGGAAGGGGCTGACGTGTGATTGCCAGCATTAAGCGCAACGGAGAATCTTTTCGTTTAGCCAAGAACAATACAGCCCTTGGAACTCTTCAAAGCAGTGCCTCATAATAACAGCAATGTGACCTACTTCAATAGGACTCAAATGAGGGGGAAAGCTTATTCAAATGAAATTCGTGGCCCATCAATGCAGGGATTCTCCTCTACACAGAGTCAGTCAGCCATCACACAATAAATGGTAATCAATGTAAACATTTTAGGTGCTGATCCTGATGATCAAAAAAGGGATTTAAAAAAAACAACTATATAAATTCGCTCTGGCCAGTGTAACCCAGTGGTTGGAGCATTGGCCCGCATACTGAAAGGTCGCGGGTTCGATTCTGGATAAAGGGCATGTACCCGGTCAGGGCACATGTGGGAGGCAACCAACTAATATCTCTTCTCACATCTCTATCTCTGTATGTCTCTATCTCTCTCCCTCCCCACCTCCCTCTCCCCTGCCACTCTCTCTAAAAAGCAATGGAAAAAAATATCCTCCATGAGGGTTGACAATAACAAAAAAAAATTTTAATAACTGTATGAATTCAAAGGAGCAATGGTTACCATAAAATATGACCTTTATTTCTGAGTGACAGTCTATTTTTTAACTTTTAGTTTATAATATGGCAAACTTGTTGTTTTTTCCATCACCATTTATGGCCTCTATGCCCTCTTCCATTCTCTACCACCCAACCCCCACAATCACCACACCATTGTCCATGTCTGTGAGTTCTCCTTTTTTTTCCTTTTTTGCTCAATCCCTCCACCATCATCCCAACAACCCTCCCGCCCACACCAGAGATGTCTGCCTGCTCTCAGATTTAACATTAAAAAAACCAATTTCAAACTCTGATACCATCACTTACTAACTAGTGCTTTTAGCTATTTAAACTCACAATCTTAAGTTCACTTCATCTCTAAAACAGAGATAAGGAGAAAAGCTATGAATTTTCCTCAAGAAACAAATATTACCAAAGGCCCATTTAACCCTCAGTGAGATACCCACCTTTTTCTCTTTTCAGACCGGCGTTATTTGCAAACCATGACCTGGACGTCCCAAACACTGCAGCCACGCAAAATTCTCCGCCCATCGACTTGCTGGGAGAAATTTGTGGAGGTGGTTTAACTTTGCTTAAAAAAATAAAATGATAGCAAAAAAAAATTACCATGAGGAACTCACAGTCCTTGAGATAATGACATCTTTTCCTTAAAATTCCACCCCTAAGTATTCAACCGCCCCCTCAATGTGGACATGCATTTTGCCTTAATAACTGGTAGTGTGAGGCTGTGTTCTGCAGTAAGAGTAAAATTAGTTCAAAGTTCCAGAGCTTTATCAGATCAATAAAAATTAACTCCTTTCTGAAATACGTGCTGGGGAAATCCAAGTCACTTCTTTTCAGATGGGTAACAATTCCCTGGAGACTTCAGAGTGAAGCAACAGAACCACCATAAACATCTCAGGATAATAAAACAGTTTACCTTTTCATTTTGATAGATAAGATTTGGGGGTGACAATTCAGTTGAATGGAGACAGCATGAGTGAAAATAATGAGGTGATACAGAATGAAACCCTGAAAGTACTCTTAGCTACAGTGCTTCAAGGAAGTAGACAGCGTGTGGGTCGATCTAATGATGTCATGCAATTATATTCGCTGATCTTCCAATTTGTTTTTTCTTCGTAGATGTGTGAAAATGATGTGTTTTTGTCTGTTTTTCATGTGTCTGAGGACACATTACGTAACTGCTGCTACAACTCAGAACTGGCATTAAAAAGCACGCACTTTCCTATTTGCTTTCCCCAAATCAGCTTTCATACCAGCAACTTCTAGACAGGGGTGGGCAAACTTTTTGACTCGAGGGCCACAATGGGTTCTTAAACTGGACCGGAGGGCCGGAACAAAAGCATGGATGGAGTGTTTGTGTGAACTAATATAAATTCAAAGTAAACATCATTACATAAAAGGGTACGGTCTTTTTTTTTTTAGTTTTATTCATTTCAAACGCGGGCCATAGTTTGCCCACAGCTGTAACCTTTTCTATTCTTTCAAATCCTTCTTTCCCTTCTTTTTTGATTTGTCAGAGGCTTCCCAAAGCTCATTAGCAATTTGCCAAACACCTTCGATAAGTGATGGTATTATTTTCTCTAATTCATAGACAATAGCCTCCCCGCACACTGGTCATGACCACAGCCTAGTCGAGGCACAGGAGTAACAGAGCCCGATGTTCCTGCTTTGCTAGTCAGTCTCCAATGCTGAGTAACATTTCTACCTTGTTTTGCTCACTGTCCTTTATCTCTTCATCTTTTAATAAAGTATGGTTGGATGTAGACAGATTGGTTTGGGGAGTCAGGAAAAAACCTGAATCTGAATCCCAATGCTACCACTTATTAGCTCTGTGACTTTGGGTTAAGTTATTTAACCTCTCAGAGCTCAGACTACTAGTATGTAAAAAAAATTAAAAAATATAAAAGTAATGCCTACCTCATAGGGTTATTTTAAGGATTAGTATTTTTGTTCTCAAAGTGTGGTCCCTGACTAGTAGTGCTACCTTGGAACTTCGTAACATGCAAATATTCATTAGACCTATTGAATCAGAAATCCTGGGGGTTGAGCCTAACAATTTGTGGGATTTTTTTTTTTTTTTGAGGAGCCCTCCAGGACATTTGGCGCATACTCAGATTTAAGAAACACTGTATCGGGAGAGATCAACCAAAGGATTTGTATGCATGCATATAAGCCTAACCAATGGACACAGACACAGGGGGGTGAAGGTATGAGTGGGGGGTGGGAGGGGCAATAGGAGGATAAGGACACATATGTAATACTTTAATCAATAAAGAAAAAAATAATAAATAAATAAATAAGAAAGAAAGAAACACTATCAGGTAAAGTGCATAAAGCTCTAAGGGCAGTACTTTCCCATATCGTAATACTGAGCAATGTTAACTCTCTTCTATTTTTCTTTTAATTAGAGTTTGCATTTGTAATCTCAGTTTCCAGACCCTTATCACACCTGAAATAGTCTCACCCATTTTACCTCCCAAGCCCTCTGTTTTGACAACTTCCTGGTAGGGAGAGCACAAAGTTTAGATCAGAGGCCATTGTAGTTGGTCATTTGGGTCCTTCCCTTGCTACCAGATCCAACATAACGCATATTCCATATATGAAAAAGTCTCTGCTCTCCATCGATATTTCTTAAGCGCTTTGTGTCACTGCCCATAAAGATCGAATTCACGCCTAAAATACGAGTGCCTGTCACAGTCAGACTTCCACTGAAGGTAATATAGTTTTTTTTAAAGTTTCTGTGAGGAAATGAAACAGTTTCACAAGTGCGATAACCTTCGCACAACCGCAATAAGCTAACAACAGAAAGGAAAGAGTCCGCTCCACCTGAACAAGAGTGCACCTTCCCAGGGAATGGCATCAGAATTGCTCTTTCTGGTGGAGATGCTCTCTGTTGCACTACATTACAATGTAAACCCTCCCTCAAAGCCTTTATTTCCATCACTGAACTACTATCATTGAGCTGTTAAGTTCCTGTAAGGAGCATCTTTTAAATTCCATTGGTCATTTAACCCTTAAGTGTTTGGGGAGGTTGGAAAGGAAGAGGAGAGAGAAAAACACCATTGCAGAATTTTTTGAAAGGTGTTTCTAATTGTGTGACTATGTGATTTTTACTAGAATCGCCATCAGGAAACAATAAGACTATAATGTATAAATAAGCTTCACAAGGAACTCAAAGCTCTTGGCAAATTACTGAATGTTATTATTGTTTTGTTTTTAATCATGTGGTAAGCAACAAGATAGAAAACAAGTGCGCATGCCACTTCTTAAGAGAGACTATGGCGGATCTAGAGTATACATCCTAAAAAGACTTTAAAATAGTTGCTGCTGGACCAGAGAGCGACCTTTATAGCATAACAATAAAGAGTAGAAATATGAGAGGACATCGATTTACTCTTTGGCCATGCAAAAATATATTCTGTATGTTTATTAGTTTACAGTCTAATCAGCCAATATCAGAGGTAAAATCCCCTACATGTCTTTAATGCTGCAAATAACTCAGCTTCTGAACATACATCTAAAAAGCACCAACACAGCATCATTTTACATAAACTCATTATCTCCTACGGAGAATACGCAATTATAATAAAAGTATGCATAACATTATGTAGTGATTTTTTAAAATATATTTTTATTGATTTCAGAGGGGAAGGGAGAGGGAGAGAGAGACAGAAACATCAATGATGAGAGAGTCATTGATCAGCTGCCTCCTCCACGTCCTACATTGGGGATCGAGCCCGCAACGCGGGCATGTACCCTTGACCAAAATGGAACCCAGGACCCTTCAGTCCACAGGCTGACGATGTATCCACTGAGCCAAATCAGCTAGGTCTGTAGTGATCATTTTTATTCCTAGTTTTCTTTTTCCTCAGATGGGCCCTTAATAAATCACATTAGTAAAAAAGTTTGTGTTCAATAAGTTTTCTTCCCTGAAAATAACTTGCTACCTCCTACATGACATAGTGCTGTGTGTTAGGCATGGAGCATACATGACGAACATAATCATAACAAGTTATTTCTACATCAACCTACATTTAGAAGGACTATGGTATTTAAGCAAAATAGAACATAAAATATGTGCATGTGTATATAAGACTTCCAGAAAAATACAAAGAGAAATAGTCTAAAGGTCATTATTAATAAAGTATTTTCTGTGTACTATAACCAATGGGATAAAATTTTAATTTGACTGAATTTGCCCTTCATCCTAAGTTTTTAAAAAAATCCAATACCAGGAATGTGAGGTGAAGCAGAATTGAACCTTTCCGCAATAACCCAGAATCTTTCTATTGCAAACTACCCTTGTTAACAGAGATATAAAACACTGAAAAATAGCCTTAGCCAGTTTGGCTCAGTGGATAGATCGTCGGCCTGCGGACTGAAAGGTCCCGGGTTAGATTCCGGTAAAGGGCACACACCCGGGTTGCAGGCTCAATCCCCAGTAGGGGGCATGCAGGAGGCAGCCAATCGATCAAGGATTCTCTCTTATCATTAATCTTTCTATGTCTCTCTCCCTCTCCCTTCCTCTCTGAGATCAATAAAAATATATTTAAAAATAAATAAAGTAAATAAAATAAAATAGAGAGTAAAGCACTGAAAAATGGCCCAACCAGCATGGTTGAGTGGTAGAGCATTGACCTATGAACCAGAAGGTCACAGTTCCATTCCTGGTTGGGGCTGCCCAGGTCCCAGGCTCAATCCCCAGTCAGCGGCATGCAGGAGGCAGCCAATCAATGATTCTCTCTCGTATCTGATGTTTCTCTCTCTCTCCCTCCCTCCCTCCGTCCCTCTTCTTTCCTCTCTGAAATCAATAAAAATATATTTTAAAAAAATAAAACACTGAAAACTGATAAATATGCGAGAGAATTAAAAGTGAAAAGAGCTAGACTTGTAAATTGTGTTCACCTGTAGATTAGTGGCACAGCCATTTAGAAAAGTATTCCAATGCTAGCCCTTTTATTTCTTTTTCTCTCTAAACATCTCCCTTTATGCTCAAATCCCATCACAAAACATTTGCAAGTTTAAAAAGAATACCTCTGGGTGCTTGGAGGCCTCCTCTCCTCTATTCATTATTTTATTAAATTAATAATATGATATAAAAAATGAAATTCCCATGTATACGGGTGACCAGAAATTCAAGTGTGTTAATTATGGTTATAAATGGGAATGAGACATACTGACAGTGTAGATGGGCTCCTTCCTATTGAGAACTTGTGCTCTTTACTCCACTGAACCCATCATAAATGAACCCATGTTCCAAAAGAAAAACAAGTATTTGAGCAAAATGTAAAAGAAGAATGGAATGACCTCAACTTTCATCATATCAGGCAAATAAGAATCATACTTACTAAACTTGACACAAGATAACAAAATCCAAAGTAAAATAAACATACAAAGAAACAAAAGAAATAAGGTGCTAAATTGAAACCCAGGAGTTTAACTTCTTGTTCATCCCTTCTGAGAGACTTAACTATCTAGTCGTAGAATGAGAGTCATTTTTACTGCCATCAGGAGTTCTGGGGACGTTAACATTACGACATCTTTAAAATTATTTACAAAGACTATTGAAGTTACCGAATTGGCGTTTACTGTATTATGTAATACAGTCAGATTAACATATTGAATTTCTCTTGCCTGTTTTTTTCCCTCCAACATTACTGCAAAGAGAAACAAAAACCCAGCAAGACTCTATCGCTATCTGCTTTAAAATTACAGTAAAATGATGGCCATCTGGGTAATTTTATTGAGTCCTACAGAACAGGATATAAGTGATGTATCTGTGGATGGCATGAAAAGCAGCAACGTTGGGTGCCTTGTTTAGAAGGACACAGGCATGAAAAGAGCTAGACGGAGATAGAAGCACCGTTTCTTTCCTTTTCTAAAACATAAGGGTACAGTCAGTATTTCAGTTTAAATGCTAGACACAACACTGATGTAAGAATTATAAGTGGTAAAATATTTTCGTGTTAAAGAAGCAATTTTCATTGTATGCCTCACCGAGATTAAGCTTTGAAAAGGAATTTAGAAGTTTTCTCTCACTTTCAACTTTATTTTTCTAAAATAAGAACTAAAAGGTAAACTGAAAGTATTTTATTTTAAATATATTAATAATATATCTAAAATTATCCTATCACAAAGTGTTCTTAAAAAATCTCATAGGTTTATCTAAACTTTGCACATAAAAGATTCTCTTCATATAAATCTTTCCTTCCAAAAATAAAATTATATATTTATTTTATTTTTTATTTTTTTTATTGTTTAAAGTATTATAAATAGTAGTACATATGTCTCCTTTTTGTCCCCACTGACCTTCCCCTGGCCTACAGACTGTCAAAATTATATTTTTAATACTCTCAAAAGAACAAGGTAGCTTAAATAAACTATTTATATATAAATCAAATGAATAATCTCAGACAATGCTAATTAAAACTTTAATATAACTTACTATGTAACATTTAATTCTTCTTTAAAATTAACCTTATATCATACAAAAACAGGTTATGTGTAAGAGAGATATTCAAATGGACTACCTTTTCTCCACACTATTATATATGTAGTTTTTCTTTTGATTAGTAATTCAAAAATAGCAGTAGCTTAAACACAATACTACATGCACATTAGGAGCTCAATAAATACGTGTTACTTATTTGTGATATTGAAAGCAAAATTTATTTTCAAAAATTCACAATACAAATTATTGTATTAAAAAAGTATATCATATGTGTGATTATTTTACTTTATTTTTTACAGTCATTCAAACTCAAATATCCTAGGGTATACATAATCCTGAGAACGTATAAATAGCTAAAATGTCGAAGATGGCCTACACAGTTAACTTTCCAACAAGTTTATTTTACTATCAAAGGGAAAGACATTATATCAAACTGACTCATTTGAAACTGCATGCATTTAAACACTTCAACAAGTTTATCAAAGAATGAAAAATAAGTAGAAAATGTGACCTCACAAAAGCAAAATCATATTTAAATATAAATGTTGCAACTTGAAAGTAATAACAATTTTGTATAAAATTTATGTAACATTTTAAGAGGAACTGTAAAAAATTTCATATTCTTCCACAATACAAATATTACCCTACAAGTGGAAATACTATAAACATAATTATTTAGCATAATGTTCTATGTCAGAACAGTAAATAAAACATTCTCAAGTTGAATGCTAAATACCATGGAAAAAGTAGCAAAAACTGTTAAAACAAAGAAGCTCTTATAAACAACATGGAAGTTGTCAAATTTATATTCATTTTGCTGCCTTAATTTGAGGTTTCATTAAGATCTTAATGGGAAAAACATGCACCACTAGTAAAGGAACGCATTTGAAAGGAGGATCTTGTAGGCTAGCATAAGTGACTAAAAACGAGTTTCTTGTGAGCTAACGATGGCATCAAACAAACCACAAGGCAGTCTTCTAAAAGACAGGCAATGATTTAAAAGTCTACTATATTTCACATATCCCTTTCTTTAATCTGGCTCTTTTAATCTTGTTTCAACCTCAAATCATTTCTGGTTGACAAGTGCTTTTGCTTAAATCTGAGGAGCACATAAGCTGTTGAAGGAATGGACTTTTCTTATTTAACATACAACATTTGTTACTACGTCTTTACTTCTATGCTAAAACTTCAATCCTTATTAACATGCTAAAACTCTTTTCTTTGTACTTAGAATGAGACATTTATCTTAAGAGTGAATTTAATTCTAAGTTTAGCCTGCAAAGAAATTTTATCGTATGCTGAATCTGGCATTTAAAAATTGACTGTTCACTATAAGCTCCTAAGTAAGATTCATGTATCTTATTTGTTTTTGTTTTGTTTTTTAAGAAATCTGGTTAACAAAAAGAATAAAGATGGACTTTCATGGAATTTTTATTCATTTATGCCCTAAATATGTTTAGAATCCTTTCATGACCTGTGTCCTAATTTTGATACTACATTTCACAAAGAAAATTTTTATGTTTGCCACTCTATTCTTATATGATAATGAAATTTTCAAATGTTCCTATGGCATATGAATAGCAAAATTAGTTTGTGTCTAATTATACTGTACCCTTAAGGTGGTATTTGAGCTTCTTTTTGTCCAACAAGAGAAAAATTATTGGAAGTTTCTTTTCCTAGTATAGTGGGACAGTATAAACAACTCCTAGTAGCAGTTATGAGAACTATGTATTATATGTGAAGAACTCTTTTAAGTATTCTGAGTAAATTTATAATATTGACATAACTTCCATTGCCCAAAACTTCCTTTTGCCTCACTTGCTCTGAAAAGCAAAAACAACAAAAAATCTAATTTAAAGTTTTTTCAAAAATATTTTTCCTTTGAATAGAAAAGAAAATAATAGTAGCAACACATTCATTGAGCACTTTCTTGTCCTAAGCAATTTACATTGTTAGTTCATGTAATCCTCATAATGAACCTATGAGTTAGGTGGTACTGGTAACTCCATTAACAGATAAGGAAACCAAGAAACAGAAAAACCACCCAAGATCATATAGGTAGTGTACGAGCTGAGATTTAAGATCTAGGAAGTCTGATTCCGAAGCCCTGACTTTTATCCATTATGTGAAACACACTATACAAAGTTCTAAATACATTTTATTTCACATCTTTATATAAAAGTACTGCATCTTCATCGTGTCTAACTACAAGACAAACCTGTAGTCTGTGCAGTTATGTAAGAATTTTCCAAAATAAATAAGTTATGATAAGTAGGTGCTATGAGCTCAACATTACAAATTATTTAGGAGTTTCAATGTGAAACACAAATTTCCTCCTTAAACACCAAAATTATTCAAAACAGAAGTGACTCTTGTTCCTCTGGTACCACATGCAGTTAAAATTTATAGGGTATTTATAGTATACTTTAAATATATTCATATTTCAAAATATAATCGAGTCTTCCAAATGTTCAGCAGGATATGTAGGGAGCTTCTATTACTACAGTGCTCAAAGCCTTAAACTGGCGTGTTAGCCTTGCTTATACACTAGCATTATGAGAGAGAATTCTTCTAATTTCTTTTTCTTTAATATTAAACTGTGATTTAATTTGACTTTTCAAGAAATGAAGTAAACTCAAGAAAACTGCTCTTTGAAAGCTTAAATATCAACATTCATGTCCCATCTACAAATTATTCAGTACTTCGGTGCGTCTATCTGTGCTCAGGCCATGCAACGGAAACAACAGTACAAAACAGTTATTTTCTGAGAGTACAACAAATGAATTAGGCATGCGGGACTGAACTGGGACTCACCATGGAGCTTTTATGGAAAAACACCCCGCTCCAAACAGATAAGGCCTTCGTGGAAAAGGGGGGAAAATGCACAAAAAAATTAGAGGAAAACTCATTTAACATTAACAAATACATGTATATCATACTGTTATAGAGTATGGTAAATCAGTGAAGAAAATAGTAATCATTGGTAATTCTGCTGTAGATACTAAGGAGCTTGATAGAACCAATAAAAATTATATATAACAAGTCCCTTCATTTTCATAGGGTTAGAGATTTCAAAATGTTCTATTTCTCCCCCTTTTCTGGAGCAACCCTATATAGGGTTCCTAGGTAAAATAAAATAAATTCAGTTCTGAGGCCCTTTAAAACAAAGTACAAGTTAAATGGAGTAATCGGATGGAGAAAAGAGTGGGATCAGTATAGCAACAGATGTGGGGTTGTGTGACACCGAATGTTTAAAACTAGCCAAAGATAACTCAATCAAAATTCTGCAAGCATTGTCTGCAGTTCACAGGTTGCAGTCTCAGAGCCAGAGCAAGGAAACACATATTTCTAAGCTGCTAATTTATAGCAAGTTGAACTGCATATGGCTGGTCAAAGGAACAAACATTAAATACAAGTAGTATGACTTATTTTCATTTAGGGTCACATTCCAGGAAACTGGCCATTCTCTCTTAATAGTGATACAAAAGATTAGCTTCCTCTACCTGGCCGCCATTGGGTGAGGCTGGAATCAGGAAACTAAAGCCACAATTGCTTGCTTTAAATACAACTGGGGATACAAAGTCAGACTTCGGTGTTACACATATTTCTTCTTAATACTCTGTTCATAGTATTTAAGACGTGCTATGCACATTTGCACACAAAGAAGACCGAGTAATCTAATTATACCCGAAACAAAATGTTGCTATGACATCTGACATTTGGAAGGAATAACAAATTGAGAAGGAAAGCACACTATCAAAACTTGGTTAGTTTCTTCTTCAACTATGGTGCGAGGGACTTTTCAAAAATCCTGCTAATTAGTATTAATCTCCCAGTGCACTGAGTATATTTGGCTCCAAACTGAAACTTGAGGATAATGTTTCACAACACTAGCTACCATTTTGAGGACTGAAGCACTGAAGCTAGGAACAAGGCAACAGAGGAGTAAGAGACACTAAGTAGAAGAAGGAGTGAGATGAAAGAACTGATATTAAAAACAAGAAATAGAAGAAAAACTTTGCAGATGATGCCGATGCAGAGCATTTATCTCGTTTATCTTACATTTATCTCACAGTTAATGCTAAGACCACAACCAGAGATAAAGTACCATCATTCACATTTAAAACCGTGGATTTCAAACTTTTTTTTAACTGTGACCCATAAAAATATATTTTCAGGTGCAAGCTGGTTTGTTCATAGAAACACGCAAATTGAAACAATTTAATGAATGGGTTTTGGTTGTAATCAACTTTACTTTTTAGGACTTAGTTATAACGAAGATTAATAAACATTCTAACAGGGCAGGTCTGGGTGGAGTCTGAGACTCTGCTTTTCTAACAAGCTCCTAGGTGATGCCAAAGCTGTGTGTTTGCAGACATGCATTTTATTGTATTCTATTTCATTAATGAAAATTTCCTTTTCTGATTTCATGATCCACTAATTACATCAGAAACAAAATACTACTTGCAGCTCGCCCTGCACCTTGACAAACAGTAATTTAAATAACTGAGATCACATGAAGATCCCAATCTCTCAATAACATAGAGATGCCATGCAGAAATGATCAGAAAATGCAAGGTTCAATACGTTTCCATATGCCCACATATACCTCCCACGTGAAGAGGTTACTGTTGGTTCACAGTACCCTCTTCCTTTAATTTTCTTCATGCTGCAGAACATCTGAAATAATCAAATACTTCAAATGCTCCTGTGATCTGGAGCATTTAGGCATGAGTTGCTCTTTAGTGTATATTGTATCGATGCCGGGTATGCTCCCATCTCATTCCAAATACCAAACTATATAGCTCATTCACTGTAAAGAATCTGGTAGTTTTATCATAGTTCTTTATGACTTAAAAGGCTTCAAAATGACCCCCAAAACCAACCAAACAAAAATGAAACAAAACCTTAAAGTTTCTACATTTCAAAAGACCAGCTGATGTTCCCCACCTATAAAGCCAGGTTTAGGTGTCCCTTATATATAAACAGGGAACATATTTTTATCCTTCTTCAATCAAGTAAGGATAACACAGCTTAAGAAGAAATCAGAGGGCTGGGGAAACAGGGTGAAAACCTGCCTTAGAATGTACACTTGGCATGTTCCCAATCTATATTCAACCACTTCTTACCCACTCCTACAAACTGGACCCCTGCCACGAACATGTAAGAGAAGAGCCCCAAACCCCAAGGAATTAGAGTGACTGACGTAATTACTGAATTTGTATGGGTAGTGTCAGCTGTTCTTTTGAAATGTGCCTGCTTCATCTTCCCTCAGTAGCAAAAGAATGAAAATATAAAGTCACAAAGGACAAGTCCATGGTCCAGCTGTCTTCACCTATGACTTTCTCCTTCCCCTCCCAAATCCCACAGTTGGAGTTTTATATGGGGCTGATTAGTAGAAAGTAGAGTGGGAGAGTGGGAGTCTATGTTGAATTAAAATTATCTACATGAATATATTCAACTCAATTTATCAAAGTCAGATATTAAGAATTTGTGTGTTTTTCAAACGCTATTAAGATTTAGCAGATTTAACAATCCTGCTATATAAAACCTGTTCTCTTCGCCATGAATATGTCCTTTTAAAGCTGAATTCTGATTGACAAACACTAGGACTGATCAAGAGACTAAATATCAAGACATATTTATTACAGACTTGTTGATTGTCCAGCGTGCAATGACTGGGCCATTGGTTCTCAAAGGGTTTCTTCTGGAGATACTCAGAAGACCGGAAGGAACTGTGCATCGATGCTATGTAAGTCTTTAAACTCATGCATTTTGTTGAATTCCACATAGCACCACAAAAGCTCTGGTCTTGCTAGCAGAAAACAAGATAACTTGTGAAGGTTTCTTAAATGTAAGTAAGAAAGTTGATTTGAAATACTCTATAACCTGAATCTAGTGCTAAAAAGGTATTAGTAATGATTAGGCTCAATCATCTGCCGAGTTAATGAAATCATTGGAACCTAAGTTCTCTATGAAGACACTCTGAAAGTCCTACTTTATGACTGATCATACCCTATGAGAATTCAGGCACCATCACTTAACCAACATTAGAATGAGTATATATAAATATTAAACATACTGAACAGAGAAAAAGCAGAAGAAAAGCTATACGACACCATAAGTAAAATTGTAAAGCCATCTTCTCTAACAGTATCTTCTAGGAGCCCAAACGACCTTACTACATCCAGCATGCCCCCTGTTTAAGAGCAACTGAAATGGACACACATGCAAATAAATTAGTCCTTATGTCATTTTCCAGTGTTACTTTTACTTTTTCATTCATTTTAACTGCTCCCTACTGAAGAGACCTATGGCACTGTTGGCTCTCAAATTATTGATCTGTAGGGCAAACTGAAGGTAAACTGTCCAATTTGAAATATATTCAATGAACAAATTTAAATTATAAACTCAAGCTTTTCATTAGAGAAAATTAGATAATGTTCAAATTCTGGCAAATGTGGCAGAAAAGAAACTAGAACAGCATAAATAGGTTGTCAAATATCTGCAGGAAGTTATTTCTGACTTTTAATACAGTATATAATATATTTTATCTCCCCCCACTCCCACCCCAAATCCATAGATTTATGGTAAAATGGGACAAATTATAGTGTGGCTTAAGTACTCTACTGATTTAGCACAAAAATTGAAAACTCAAACTGTGATAAGTATATTGCACATGTAAACAGATCCAGAGACAGAGAAACATCAATCAGATGCTCAAACCTCAGAGGGAAGATAGGGGAGGGTGGGGGTAAGGGGGAGAGATCAACAAAGAGACGTGTATGCATGCACATAAGCATAACCAATGGAAGCAGACAACAGAGGGTGAGGGTGAGGGCAGGATTAGGGGGGTGGGGGGGACAATGGGGAAATAACCACACATTTGTAATACATTGTGTAAAACTAAGCGGCACATTTGTATATCTAACCACACATTTGATATACCTTAATCAATAAAATTAATTAATTAATTTAAATATATATATATATTCTCTATCATCATTGATGTTTCTATCTCTCCCTCTTTCTTCCTCTCTGAAATCAATAAAAATATTTTAAAAAATAAAAAAATAACTAATACCTAGAGCAGACAAGGCTGGGAGGTGGAGAATTATCGTGTGTTACTATACCAAATCTTTCCTACTAATTCTCAGAACTTCGCCTATGTGATTTGGGGCTCAGGACAAATTGTCTAGACAAGGTAGACCTAATGGAATTAGAAAAAGAAATAGGCCTTCTTCATGGCTTACTATATGCCAATGACATTTATTCACCTTCACAAGCTCTGATGGCAGATGTGGTCTGCAAATTTCAACTAGAGCTAATCAAATACACGCTATTAAATGCTGCCATTTCTAAATAAGCACAATCATCTACATTTCCTAGATGGAAATTGCTCAGCAATGGCCTAGGGCTCAACAATGAGTGAGGCTGGAAATCAGGTAATGGCATCAAAGGCGTGATGGGAACTCATACACTGAGAGGTTGAAAGATTGCCATCTATACCTAAATTCTTATTGTGCAGATGAAGAAACTGGCCTAAGACACACAGTTAACAGGTGGCAGAACTGAGAGGAAAAGCCAGGGCTGCAGACTCCTCAGTCCATTTTTTTCCACAACATTACCCCACCTACGCCTACAGGGTCAGGCCCAAGGTTCCTAATACCTACCTCAAACTGCTCACAAAAAAAGTGAATAGGGGAGGGGAAAAGTGCCAGAAGCCGGTCTATCCTTGCTGCTTGACACAGTCGCTGCAGGGAAGAAACATCTGCACAGCATGTTTCAAGGGACCTAGCGTATATGGCATACTGTTCTTAATATGTTTGCTCCCCTTCTTAGCGCTATGTATTTTAACCAAGGTCACCTCTTCAAGAAAGGTTATTTCCCCAGGTGGGGATTTTTTCCCTGGAGTTAGGGATTAACAGGACTAAGGAAGAGAATAAATCAGTGAAACCCTCTAGTGTTACAAAAATACCATGTACTACTTATGAAGAACTTGGACTAAGACTGTTGGCAATAAATTTGGGACTTGTTGGGCCCACATCCCCAGGGGTCTGCCCACCAGGGAAAGCACCAAAGCCTATACCCCTGGAGACCCACTGAAATAGGGCAGTCCCAGGGAAGGCAAGCAGCAAGGCTGGGAGGATATAACCTTTACTGGGTACGATAATCTTCAGTCACTTCCTTGTAGCTTATCAGCAGAGCAGTGACCTTGGAATAGCCCTTATAATGGAACACAGAGATTAACCTAGACAGGATTAAACTCAACAGAACTAGATTAACAAATGCCCTAACCTTTGGAATAGAATGGATAGGATTAAAATCAACTGGTATAAATACAGGACAATAAATACCAAACCTGGCTGGAGAACCTGGCTAGAACCTGGATAGAGAACCTGGCTATGCTGATCAACTGAACGCTGTCTCCGTGTCATTCATTCTTAGCCGACTCCATCCACACCTTTGGGAACCCCTAGACCCGCTGGGGCTGGACCCCAACAGAAAAGAGCCGGGAGCTGCTCCATTTAAGGAAAAGGAAACCAAATTATCTCATATTTACTTCACTAAAATTGGTCAGCTAGTTAAGAGCAAGGAAGTAAGTTCAGTCCCAAGTTCATTTCTATATTTCTTATTCCCATGAAATTACTCTGACCTCTTTTTGAAATTAACTCTTCTCTGCTTGTGCCCATAAAGCGATGTGTATATATTAATAATTTTAGATTTAATGCACATAAAATTAAGCATACTGAAAATGATTTAGTAAACTTTTACACAGATAGGAAGCATTAAAAAATTTTTACCACTTACATGATTCATTAACTCAACCAAATATCTACAAAACGCTGCTTAGTAAATCCCTACTATAAAAACTTAATGCTCCCAAACAAGGAGCAATCCGTTAGCACCTGGTTTCACTTTTAATAGATGTGGAGAAGTATTCCTATTTACAAGTGATAAAAACGTTACGGAGGCCTTCAATCTGAGACTGATGAAATGGATTGTTTGACTTGAGTGATTGTTGAACCAAATGATTTCTAGCACTTCCTTTGCCTTCATCGGTGTACACTGTAGTGGGGTGAAGCAGCAGCTGTTGCCAAAATAGGCCTCATTTCCTCCAAATGCCGCTTCAAGGTACAGAACATGAAGGTGTAAGTACATCTGTCTCTTGCCATTTTAGTTCTACTGGCCTCATGCATGTCTTGGAGAAAGACAGATGGTCCCTGACACTGCACAAGCTTTCAGGGATATATATTTCCAAAAATAAGAGAGCAGATGTTAAACTTGGTAAGTACACGGTTGATCCCCTGAAGGTTTGAATTGAGGCTGCCATCTCAATTTGGTTATTTAAATATAGGATCCTAGGCAATCCGTAGAAATCTTTGTGCTAGAAATATAACTGTTTATTTGCTCCATGTCTATGACATGGAACAATTTGTTCTATTGACATGGAACAAATAAATGTTGATCTAACCTAAGGAAGTATAATTTTACTAGATAAATTATCAGGTATATTAGAAGTAGTCATAGAACTCACATGTCTATAAATGAAAAGCACTGTGTTCTCTTTTTACATTATCCAAGTCAAATACTTCTTATTTATTTTATTTTTCAAATGCTAGGAAAGCCATTTCATAGAAGCATAGTTAAGAGGAAATTAACCAGGCCAGTGTGGCTTAGTTGGTTGAGCATCATCCCATGCACCAAGAGGTTGCTGGTTCATCCATTCCATTCCTGGTAAGAGTACATGCCCAGGTTGCCAGCTCAACCCTCAGTTTGGGGCATGCAGGAGGCAGCCAATTGATGTTTCTATCTCTCTCCCTCTCAATTCCTCTCTCTCTAAAATATCAATAAGAGCATTTAAAAAAAAAAAAAAAAAAAGAGTGAATTAGCCAGCTGGCATGGCGCAGTGGTTGACCATTGGCCAGAAGGTGATGGTTCAATTCCAGTTCAGGGCACATGCCAGGGTTGTGGGCTCCATCCCCAGTGTGGGGTGTGCAGGAGGCAGCCGATCAATGATTCTCTCTCATCACTGATGTTTCTCTTTCTCTCTCTCCCTCTCTCCATCAATATCTCTCTCCCTCTCCCTCTCCCCCTCCCTCTCTCTCTCTCTCTCTCTTTCTCTCTCTCTCTCTCTCTCTCCCTCTCTCTCTCTCTCTCTCTCTCTCTCTCTCTCTCTCTCTCTCTCTCTCTCCTCCCCCCCATCTCTGAAATCAATAAAAACATATTCTTTTTTAAAAAGGAATAAATTAGAATTTCCAGAATGAAAAGAGACCTGGAAAATGAAAAGCCCATTTGCTCATCACTCTGCTGACCCTAATGTGGCAATCAAAATTCTCAGTAACTATAACAAAACTGAATTGGAAATAACGCAAATTAGCTAAGTGCAGTATTGAGAACTGGTCATAGTAAAAAAAATTTGAATAAAACTAAAATAAAATAGAGCCTTTCAAATCTAATGAGATGAAATATAATAATATAAAATACCTGGGATTTGTTTCAAATCTCTACATATGTCAAAAATGAAAATTCAGGAAACATATTCTGTTCTTGAAAACAAATATAACTTTCAGTAAGGCAAATACATCTATTTCCATGTAAATGCTAAATGTTTAAGTGATAAAACTACAAATTATATTCTAAAAATTTCTGACCAAATGTTCGGGTGAATTATAGTAAAAGTAAAAATTTTAAACTAAGTACTCATTGTAAAAGAAATATTAATTACTCTCTCTAAATGCTTTCATATAGGACATGCTAAAAATAATTCAAATACTTGGCAGAAACAGAAGGTTTCATAATAGAGATAAAAGGTCTAGTAAGTAATAATGATACATGTATATTTAATTCATTAATAAATAATTATTAAATTAACTATAATAAAAGAGAGTCTAATATACATGCTCTAAAAATGGAGGATTTGTAACCAAGTTTTTAAAAAGAAAATGATACTAGACTTATCTGGGTGATTATTTCATAAGTTATATAAACGCATAACTACTATGCTGTACACTTAAAAGTAATATAATACTGAATATCAACTGTAATTGAAAAATAAAAACATTTAAAATAAAAGAAAAGGAAACAGAATTAATCTAAGTTCATAAAGTATGGTTGCATAGGAAAAGACTAGATAACTCATAGTTTCTCCCTGATTAAGGACAGAGAGAGTGAAAAAGAGTGAGAGATTTTACCTGTTTTATGGAAAATTATAAATATATACAAAAGTAAGCTCACTTTCTACCCCTCCAACAACTATTTTGAATTAAATTCTAACATCATATGATTTCATACATAGAACTACAGTCACTATAGAGAAAGAAGCTTATTTGAAAGAGAGCTAACTCTTTGCATTATAAAATAGCATACCTATTAAGTTTTTAAAATAACAAACATAAACACTAGAAAAAAACTAAAATCAAGTTCAAGAACAACAATTTTGAACAGGAAAGACAGTCAAAAACTCCTAAGTAGAATTTGTACAATGCTGATTTTGGACCTACGTTTGCTGTATTTTTACTTTTTTTCCCCCCTTCATATTCAACAAACTCAACTTTATTTCTGCACTGAGCAAAAGGATCATTTTATATACAAAAACCACTCTACTAGGGATAGGGTTAATTTCAGTGCTATGGTAAAATCTGGAGCTCAAAGGCCTGGTCCCTGAGAATGAGGAATTCTTCTCACAGAAATAACCTCTGCAAACACTTTATCACCTAGCAAACAGTATTAAGACAGCCAAATAATTAATCTAATCCTTTTGTTGGAAAGGCCCTGAAGAATATTTGAACACAAGAGAGGGTTTTCTCCTGATGAGCTGAATATAGAATTTTTAGGCAGTTGTTCCAAATTAGGTTAAAGCCTAAAACTGCTTATTAATGAAAATAGGTAATTTGCATATAGAAATATATACTTTCTGGTACAAATGAATTTCAAAATTATTACATAACTGAATACCTAATGATATCTTAGATACAGTATTTTATTTTCAGGAACGAAAAGTGATGATTTCTAGCAGGTAGGAATTTTATAGCTAAAATACGCACAAAGATATGAACTGAAGTGAATCATCAAGTCTTTGAGGATGTTAACAACCAATCTTGAGTTAAGCCCAAATCTTAGGACTCTGGCTTTTGAAAACTACCCTTTGCTCCACACTGTCCTAGCACTGATGACAGATTATTATATGTAAATTATACCTCAATATAGGTGTGTTTTTTTAAGTATTAGAAACATGGTTGTCATCTAAAGTTCTCATCTTAGTAGGTAGGTGTGTCTGTCAAAATTTGGAAGTCATTATAAATCCAGATCATGTCCACAAAAGCAAGAAAATGAAACTGTACTTTCAGACAAAGCCACACGACAGCAAGTAGAAGACTAAGTAGCTAGATCTGGTTTTTATTAGCGAACACTCATTTTCACAACTTGTCACTGCTTTGTTTTTTCTCTGAATGTGTGTGTATAGGGTTGTGTGCAAGTTAAGTTTGTGCCTGTTCTATGCTTTGTACTTAACCTGCTGCCATTACGTATCATATGGACTAGAAATGAAAAACATAATCAAAACCACCCAAATAAAAAGTATGTTTTCTTTTATGCATTCAATCCTCTAACACAGCTATTAAAAAAGTGTCAAGCCTGAGGCCTTACCCTGTTCGTTTGGTGATGGTCCCCAATGTCATTGGCTGTTTGATTTGTGCAAGAGGCGTCAAAACCATCAAGCTGGGGAGAGGAGAGAGCCGAGGGTTGCCAGGGTTGTTGTTGGCAAAATTATTGTAGGAGTCTTGGCTGTTTAGTTTCCCTACAAAAAAAATAAAGAAAAACATCACCAAAGTAAGTTTTCTTTTCTCATAGGGTTTACACTAACTCCACTCATCACTTAAGAAAGATATCAAAGGCAGAATTCATTCTAAAAGAATCATGATTATAAAGATGGGAGGGTGGGGGAAAACAAAGAACACTGATTACACCAAGTGTGACTTGCTTAGAAATAGAGACTTTAGTCTTCGGGGATGGAGGAATAGAGGATACCGAACTAGATAGGTGTTAAATGGTTATACCAATAACCAGTATGAAATTTAATCATGATGTTATGGTGCTATAAAGAAATAGAGTAATTTTTAAGGTAGGAGATGTGATTTTTTTAAAAAATATATAATAATGAAATGAAACAAATGAAAGCAGATGAAACAAAAATCTATAAAGTTTAAATGAAGTTTATCACAATCTTACAAATATGGGTTTAGGATTTTTTTCCTGTTTGTTTTTTAACCAGTGGACTCAAAATATTACCTATAGTATCTATTATTCCAATACTATGGTACATGAAGCCTTAAGCAAGGCAGGACCCATGATCTCTTTCATTTTTTTCCATTCACCTGGTATCCTGGCCTAATGACAAATTTTGAGCTACATTTTGTTGATCTGAAGTGTTATGGCAAATTGTACTGCTTTCTCATCATAAATAGATATCACACATAGTCACTGAAAAGAAAGAGACCAGATTATAAGAAGGGAACATGTTATATTCTGGAGAAGAACTACCTATTTGGACATTTATTGTTTCTATATTATTTGTTATCACCTCCTTGCAGCCTACAACTACAAAATTCAAATAAGTTATAAAAGCTCATAGATACAAGGGCATACAATATAAAGGCAGAAATTATTTTTACATTATCAAAGTCCTCTTTTAGATACAGGCAGATAGAATTATAAAAGTTAGATCATTTGCTATTCTGAATTTCCATAATGCTTTGAAATGCTATCATGTTGGGAATTAGGTTCCTAAACTACTGATGACTTCCAAAATAGACATTGCACGAACCCCTGCCCAAGCATACTCAGAACTCGCTAAGATGACGTTTTTAAATTTCAAAGCTCTTACAACCCGTTTAGTCACCTTTTTCTAAGGAAGCATCCCTGTAACAATAAATAATAGTTCTTCAGAAGAACTATAGAAAGAAGAGAAAAACAAAAACAAAAACAGAGAAAACGTATATTTAATTCCTTTCTTTCCAAAGACCGTTGGTGGTTTGATGCCTTTCCTCAATGGCCCATGATACCTAACAATACTTGCTGCTTCCACCTACACCTTGCCGTCATCTGCAAAAACCATCAGCCATGGTTCTGATAGGGATTGAAATGAATCTGTAGATCAGTTTAGGGAATATTGCCATCTTAACAATATCAAGTCTTTCAAGCCATGAACATGGGATGTCTTTCCATTTATTTAGGAATTTTTTAATTTCTCGGAACATTTTTTTGTAGGTTTCAGGCCACAAGTTTTACACTTCTTTGGTTAAATTTATTCCTATTTTATTTTTGTTATGCAACTTATAAACAGAACTGTCTTCTTCATTTGCCTTTTCAGATTGTTCATTGCTAGTGTAGAGAAATACAGTTAATTTTTGCACCTGGATATTGTACGCTATAACCTTGTTTCTTAGCTCTACTGATTTCTTATGGAGTCTTTGGATTTCTATATACAGATCATGTCATCATCAAAGAAAAGAGTTTTACTTCTTCCTCTCCAGTCCTTCTACTTCTTTTACTGCTTCATAGTCCTGGTTAAAACTTCCAGTACAATACATAGAGGGAGGTATGGGTTGAGGTTCATTGTGTTCATTGCCTTGATAATGGATGCCCATTTGTCTCATCACCATTTGATAAAAGATTATCCTCTCTACACTAAATTGCCTTTTCACCTTTGTCAAAAATCAATTGCCCAGGTGTTTCATCTTGAAGGATGTTTGCTGGTTTCTGTTCTGAAAAAGCAGCACTTAATATCAGTCTTTGCAGGTAAACACTCATCATGATCTCTGCTATTCAAATTGATCATCACTGAGCCTGGTTGTGAAGAATAAGGCAGAAAGGATATTCAAGTAGAATCTGCAGACGTGTCGTGATTATTTCTGGTATTACGTTTCTCATCGTTCATAACCTGATGGCCATTTATGACAGATACTGGGAGTCACAAGAAATCGCCATGATCCAACTAGAATTATCGAGGTGTTTCATTAACAAGGATCAAATTAATGCCTCACAAAAGGAGAAACCGTGGGATACCACCTCAGGATGATCTTAAATTAAACCTAGATGCCTTGGGGCCTTTTGGCCTATTTAAAAGTCTCTTGAGCATCTTCAAATAGAAATAAATTCAGGGTTCACACAACACACCATACATACACACAGACAGACACACACAGACAGACACACACACACAATCAATCAATTGCCCAGCCTGATCAGTGTGGCTCAGTGGTTCCCAGTCAGGGCACATGCCCGGGTTGCAGGCTCAATTACCATTGAGGGTTGTGCAGGAGACAGCCAATCAATGATTTTCTCTCATCATTGATGTTTCTATGTTTCTAGCTCTCTCTCCCTTTTCCTTCCTCTCTGCCCATATGTATGTAGGTCTATTTCTGGATTCTGTTTCATTGATCCATGTGCCTATCCTTTCATCAATATCTCATTTTCTTGATTACTGTAGTTAGTTATTCTTATAATTCATGCACATACACAAGTTTTAGAAAGAGTGGAAGAGAGAGGTAAAGACAGAGAGAAATATCAATGTGAGAGAAACACATTGAGTGGTTGCCTCCTGCACACGCCCTGACTAGGGCCTGGGCCAGGGAAGAGCTGCAACTGAGGTACATGCCCTGACCAGAACCCAACCCAGGACCCAACCCAGGACGCTTTGGTCTGCAGGCTGACGCTCTAGCCACTGAGTCAAACCAGCGAGGGTGAGATCGCTGAACTTTATAGGTGGGCTATGTCGTCTAGAAAAATGAACTGATTCATCGAGAAGCTCCAAATCTGTGGATCAGTTAGCCATGGCTTATCCCTCACTGGCTCACCAGGATAAAGGACAACCTCAGAATAGCATCAAAGGCACTTCAGACTTATCCCTCCCAGCCTGCTACTGTATTGTCAAGCAACACCCAAGTATTTATGGGATTTCACTCTTAGCGTCTGTGTTTATGATGTAGCCTCTGAAATCTAGCCCGGCAGAAAGAGTCAAGTAAGCTGGGGAGATTTTATGTTTATAAGAATAGAGGTCGTGTCTGTCTCCCACAGCAGAGCCCCTTATCCTAGGGGTACATTCCAAGACCCCAGTGGATGCCTGAAACACAGACAGTACCAAACCCTACATACACTATATCTTTTCCTATACATACATACCAATGATAAAGCTTATCAATTAAGCATAGCTAATAAATAGACAATATGAAAATTATTTAAAAAATGACAATTATAACCATACATTGTAATAAAAGTTATTTGACAGTGGTCTCTCTCCCAAAATATTTTATTGTACTGCATGAAGAGCGCAGATATGTTGGGCCAAGTGATTATTAATCATGCCCAGGCAGGACGAAGCGGGATACTGTGAGATTTTAGCACACTGGTCAAAACAGCACACAATTTGAAACTTATGAATTTTTTCTGGAATTTTTCATTTAGTATCTTGGGACCGCAGTTGACTGCAGGTAAGAGAAGTCCCGGAAAGCAAAACTTCAGGTAAGGGGGGGGGTCTCTGTATTTTACATGTATGGCAAGTACTTAGTAAAAGCAGCTTTAAAGGAAGAATAAATGTGTTAATAAAATGGTGAGCAATGATAAGGTTCAGGAAGGCAAACTGAGAGAGAAAGCTAATCTTCCATCAGGTAGTTTCTGTGAAGAGGTAAAAAGTCGGAGAGAAAAGGATAAGTAAAGGGAACATTGATAAAAAATGATACAGGTAATGGGTGCAGAACACAGAGTTAAGGACTTTGTGGCTAAAAAGAAGATATTGACAAGATGAGATACTGTACCAGCAAAGGTTTCATTTAACTTTTAGTCTTTTACTTTATACTTTTGAGCCTATTGGTATGAGGCCCGGTTCTAGTCCTGAATGAGTAAGTCCAAGGGACTCCTAAAGAGTTTGTAACATAATGAGAAAGATTATTTATAAACAAAAAATTTTAAATGGAAGAAAACATGCTAATAAAGATATCTCCAAAAGGTCTCAGAAACAAAAAGGAAGGAGACGTTTTTATTGTTGTTGTGGTAAAGGATAAGTTAATAAGGTGTAGAAATCTTGAGCCTAGAGGAAAAAACTTGTATCATCTTCCCTTTACTTTTCTAATTGGAAATTAGGGGATGAGAGATATGTGGACAATTACATGAGGGATTAGGAAAATCAGGAAACTAGCTTAGATAAGAAATCTCATTAGCTGATGCATAATTTAAAAAAATACATTAAAACACATAAAATTTAAAATGAAGTTCATACTCAATAAATCAAATACACAAAAATAGTATAACGATCTTTTCTTCTTATTGCTATTACTCAGTCTTTGCCTAAAAATTATTTTGCATTATCTTTTGTGTCATAGATTTTCTTTGAAAATGTGGCTAATATATATATATATATATATATACACACACACACACACACACACACACACACACATACATATATATAATACACACACACACACACACACACACACACACACACACCCATATCCAGGAAGTACAGGAAAATTTAGCCCTGTGAGGTACAGAAAAAGAATTAATTTTGGAGGGAACTCAAAGGACTTCAGAAGATAGCTAGATGCTAGAATCCATGGCCTTCACTTCTCTGCTTAATCTCATGTTGACGAGGCTGGGAACCTAGCCTTTGATAACTTTAAGAATAGATCTTCAGACACTTCCTATGGTTATAGCAAAGCTAAATTTCCAAGCCAGAATTTGTCTTTACTTTCTTAAAATAATGAGGTTCAGCAGGAAGAAACTTGTAGCATCCCAAGTCTT